AGTGCACATCGGCGCTCCCTTGGGGCCGGCTGCTCGCCTGCAGAGGTCCACAGCTGTCTGCTCAGAAACCTCTGCTGGCACTCTGGGTCTGCTCGAAGGCGCAGGCATTTGGCCCGTGCAGCCCTGAGCCATGGCTGGTCCACCCAGCAACGGAGGCCGTATGCCTCTCCCCCATTTCGGTGGCTCAGGTGAAATGGGCTCACCTTCAGATTCAGTTTTCAGTGCGTCTTTGTGGATTCTGCAAATTGGAAAGACCCACTGAAGGCCTTGGCTGATCCCCCAACAGGGGCGCCTCGTGATGCCATTTTTCTCATGGAATATCTGCGCACGCAGACAGCATGGCCATGCATGCCCATGCGCAGATGCGGCCAAGAGCCACACCGATGAGAACGTCGGGGGTGATCTCAGCCCCCCCTTCCTGCCCTTAGGTCCCAAAGTGCCAGGCAGTCCCCTTGCTGGGCAGAGCTTCCAAGGCAACTCTCGGAGCCCCGCTGAGGGTTTGGCAGCTCAGTCTCTGCTCAGGTCCAGAAGATTGGACCCAGCCCGGGCTTCTCCCCCAGGCCCACCACATCCAGGAGCTCCCTGGGCTCCGCTGTCAGGGTGGCTCCTGCAGGGGAAGGGCAGCCGGCAGGACATGCACAGGCCGTCCAGCGGGGCCGCCGGCCTGTGCTGAGGCTGGCCATGGCATCTGGGCATGGCTGTCCCTGCTGCCCCGCTCGAGCCTCCCATACTTCCAAAGCACTCCCCCCTCCAGATCAGCCTGGGTACTGCGGGCAGTGATCGTGGGGGCCCTCGAGCAGACGTATTCTGCGTGGTCCTGCTGCCCTCCCCGCCCAAGCCAGGGCAGGTCCCAAGAGTCTATGCAAATTTGCTGGCGGGCCATTGGCTGGGCTGGAGCATAACACACTCTTGGCTGGGACAGGCGTGGGAGCAGAGATGATGCTTGATGTGGGATTTAAGGGCTGATCTGGGAGAGGAGCCACCACACTGGCCTTTCTCCTTTCGTCT